CTATCGATGCGGACTCGTAGCTCAGCTGATAGAGCTTGCGCTGTACAAAAGCGTGGGCGGCGTCCATGCGTGGGTCCAGATCTCATCGAGGTTACTGAACTTCTCACAACTTCAACATACGAATTCAACCTGCCAAACAAAGGTGAGAAGATGTCATTACTCTCTTCTTTCTGACACAGACCGGTAAATCTTGCTGGTTTTCTAAGCGAAGCACTTTATTTTTCTCTAACGGTTACCTCAAAAACTGTGAAGGTCATGCATTGGAGGACTTGGTCGGACGACACGGTCAAATTTGACAAGAGTTCATTGTGAATGTTTGCATAAATTGGTTCACCAGTAAAACAGGTCGATCAAACAGAAAGACGCTTTTTGAATTTAAACGTTTTCCGTGGAATTAATATCCCCAAATCATTGAAAATCGAGAGAGAACAGCAGATGACGGCGTGATTAGATGCATGTGTGCCAAAACCTCGTTTTATAGTTTTGCTAATAATAATGATAATAATACTTTAATTATAAGGAGACAATTTTTTGTTGTTCCAAGCACGCAATGGCCCATCACAGAAGTTATAAATAAAACATCTCAGCATAATACCACCGATGTATTTGCCGGATGTTTCTCCTACAAGAAATCGGATCAAGAACACATTGTTCTCTGCCCCACTCATATTTGTTATATTCTCTGGGTTACTGTTCCTACGAACAGTGAAGGCTTCTCTGGATTTTAGTCCCAAGTTGTCTGTTCCTAACGATGTGATTATATTGTTACTCATTATATTTCAGTTTTCATAGATATTAACCTCGCACTTTTATTCGCCCTTGTTGGTAAGTTCATTATGAGCTTGACGATTCCGTTTGCAGGGTGCATGAACAAAAACTACGCTTTCTGCAGCTGGTGGTTTGCCATTCATACTATTAGTTCTTTTTTATCATTATTTGGGGGACTGGATTGAAAATATTTATTGGAGCGCAAGCGGTTAATGTCGATAAGTTATCACCCTAGAGGTCGTCTGTTTGAATCCAACCACATCTGCATGGTAGCGTTAGGGAACCACTAAGACCCATTTCACTGCGGATGCACCGTTATTTGTAATAGACATTCTGATGATTGATGAAATAATTTACTTCTGATGCAGCATCAAATAAAAAAATTACATACAACGAATAAACCGGGTCCATAAAGTAACTCAGGGCTAAGCTTGATAAAGTTTTACATTTCTGGTGTAACTAATCGGATGGAACCCCAAAAGTGCGAGACGCGTGTAAATTGCCAAAATTAAGCTTGGTACTAATCATTTAGGGAGAATTCACTTTTCCCCACAGGAGAAAATCGTTCATCGTTTGAATAAATGAGTTGCATGCCTATAATTTGTAACCAGTCTCATGAGAGGCACTACACTTTACCATCTACTTCCTGTTGTCATGAATTCGAAAGAGTCTTGTTAATGTGATTACATGCAGTTAATTCAGCTGATGTTGATATTTATTCAGATGTCTTACCAGTTAAGTCTATGCTCAACTGGCTTTATCTCAAACACTGGAGATGTGTTTTATTAAACTTATCCAAGTAACCACAGTAATGAAGATATTTCTAAAATACTCTTTCTAACATTTAACTTCGATGAAGCGTATATATATATAGAAACCTCTTTAGTCTTGACCCAGTTGTTACACGTATAAAAGTAGCACCAGTATTTGAAAACAAAGCTTATAAACGAGAAAGATTTCTGTTATAACGAAATAAAACATTAAAAATCTGCATTTATCATCTCTTGCCCGATAACTAACTATTTGAATGTAAGTAATTTAAAACAAATATTCGCAAGTTGGTGGTATATACATGTCACATATCGCAGAACAGGATCGGACTTTATGAAGTTTTAACGCGTCTTTTTCGGATAAAACCAGAATGATAGATTTGCCTGATTTTTCTGGTCTCCCTTCTACTACGGAAATGAAGCAAGACTGTAGAAACATACTGCCAGTGAATGATGCTCTCAGCACCATTTAGTTTGGTGTAAATTTTAGATATTTTCTGTTACAATGTTCCGCAATTTCAATACTCTTCAAATGACTTGGTTTTTGTAGTAAAGTTCGTCCTTTATGGGGGAAATAATACGTAAAATAAAAGACCAGGAATTTTCGGACATTTCTTTTGATCAGTTTGGGTCTCATTGGAAGTGCAACTCCTTTTACTCAACTGAGAATCGAACCCGGGACCTCATAGTCTTCCACGGCTAAATTGCTTACATTAATCACACAGATTTGACAAACCTGGAAACTTTGGATTTAAAAAAAGAAAACAAATTGTGTTACACTGTCCAAAGAAACATTTTCACCTCACCCTGATCCCTTTACTTTTCTTTAAAAATTGCTTTTGATGGCCATCACTGTGACTATTTTAACCAAATTCCATTTTTTTAAATGTTAATTTTTTATCTGTTTATCTCACAATATCTTCGAAAGATCCAGACTTGTATAATTTTTATTGGCACAAAGATTAAAACCTTGCAACAGACTTCTACACACATGAAAAGGTTGAAACTCTGATGAGAGATTCACAAACTCGATACTCTATTTGAAATTTCCAATTGTAGTTAAATATCGGTAGTCTTATGTTAATAAATTTGCTTCAACTCGTTAGCCTTTCCATTTTTCATATTTTTTTAAGTTATCATATGTCACTTTATATGTATTTTGTTTGTTTCGGCCTTTGAAAAATAGCGCTCAATGGCTTTTTCCCGACAAAAAACTCTTGGCGTTGATTATTCCTATGTAAAAATACTTACTTTTTTGTGCCTGACAAAATCACAACCTGATACCATTGAATGAAAACGTTTCTGACCCAATTAGTGACACTTATGTTGTCCTCACATGGCAGAATTATTTTTCCGCATAGAAGACATGGATTCAAAATAAAGGTTTGCAATACTAGTTGCGCAGAAGTTTTTCAAGTCCATTGTTAGAATAACTTCACAACAAGTACCTCGTTTTGATGTCAGAGTTTTGATATATATCACAAAAGTATAAACAATCCAGTTTCGCATTCGGTAACGCAAGTTCACCGAAATTTCAACGTAGGCATTTCTGAAAAGCAAACAAGCATAATCAATTCAGAAACTGGAGCAACGTGAATGTACGATCAATAAAAGAATACCAAATTTTCTCCGACTATAAAAGGAATATAGTTTGCTAGTATGTTTATGCAATTTCTGTCGTTAATTTTACTATAACAGTTCAAAAATGAAAACAGCCTGTGAAATCTTATTGTTCTGAATAACTGTAAAATTAATAAGCGATCAGTTTATAATTTTCTAGCCTTGCAAGTACCAACACGTTTTATCCTTTTTGTGGCAAAGTATTATCACTTTAACCGATGAAACCATCACATTGGAAAGTTCAACTTTATTTTCTCATTTTAAGTTTAAGTGTCTCGGAGGTTCACAGGATTTGTTTTGAAAATTATTTCCATGACTAGCACAAACACGTATTTTGTGTTTACTTTCTCAAAAATCTGAAATTGTTTTATTTGAGATGTCTCATTAAATTGACCTAGGTTTGCACGAGAGTATTCCCGGTCAAAAATATACAATGCTTATCTTTCTCACAAAAGCTGCGTAATCTGTTCCGTTTTTGGCAGCTTGTTTTATTCTTTCATTATCAAACGTTTTACACTCACTTTTCACGTATTGAACTCTGTTTCATCGAATCAGGTTTGTTTAAGTGGCCCTTTTTCTTCCACAACCATTTTATGTACTGCACTTTATATCTAAAGTGTGTTGGCAGTTTACCTCTAGCAGCGTTTGGCCTTCATCTCACCGTTTGTTGTATTTAATAATCGGTGTCTGTCAGTACTTTAGACAACTGAGTTGTTTTCCAACGTTGAAAATCGGTCATTCAGGTATATATTGAAATAAGTAACTGTCATTTGGAAGCAGCTAATGCCACTAGGTATTACCCTGCAAAACTAGGAAATTTCATTGTTTTAAGTTTCTTCGGTGCTTTACTGGCCGTCTTTCCATGCAATCTCTTTCACACAAGGGTTTATTTTAATCTTCTTTGTTACAATGAGAAAATAATGTTTGATGATTCTGAGAAACTGAAAAAACCTTGCACTTCCTTCAGGCATACTCGTTCGAGAAAGCAATTTTTCTTGTATGTGAATAGATCATACACCTAAATATTACGTACAATTAAATTATTTTGAGTTTACATATTGGTCTCGGGATACAGAAGATTTTTCTATTCAGCGTTGCGATTTCCTTGGAGCTATTAATGGAATCATCACTTTGCTGCTATCTCAGCTGAAACAACCCCCCTCTTTTGACCAACCCTCAAGATTTAAACCACTATCTCCGACTGAGGTTCTGGGGATTTTAGCAAATAAAGGGGAACAGACCTCATGATCCTGATTTACTTTCAATCAATACGCCTCAAGCGCAACCTGAATAACCTTAATCAGTCAACATGTTTTTACCGAACGCAAAATAATTCTTAAGCAACCAGACTGTATTCTCATCTTTCGAAATCTGTTAAATTCGTGGGCGGGAACTTCGGTTATCGTTTTGTTTCCCTTTCAAATGGTAACCTCTATTTTGTCCATAATTTCATTATTTGTAGCAATGATCATTTTTTGTGGAATACCCTTTTTCTCACTGGGCTGATTAAACCCATTTCATTATGGTCTAATTAGTATCCTGTCCAGTTAGGCGAAAAGTTCCTGATTTCACGAGCATCCTTTGAATTGTAAAACACTATCACATTTGCTTATGCAGTTAAATTTGACTTTACACAAACAACAATGTTGCAAACGTTTTGCACCGGTTTCGGTCACCGTCGTTTCGTTCTTGATGAAATGGATAAAACCGCGCTGAAAAAATATCTGTTGACAGTACTGAGTTCATTGGCATCCTAAAATCTACCTTGCGCGAGTCCGTAGACTATCATTTATCTTACAAGATAGATACAATTCTCAATACAAAAGGTTTAATAGCAGAATGGAAGAGGATACGATATTTAATCGCTTTTTAATAAATACGCTTTACGTTAAGCTGCAGTGACTAATTGATGGAACGGATCTCATTGCAGATGACAGAGCTCGTGGTGCCTGAAGCCGAACTACAAGATTTGACGACGACAAGG